TCAGACTTACATTTCAAGTCAGACTTACTTTCGTCCGAGACTTACATTTCAAGTCAGACTTACTTTCGTCCGAGACTTACATTTCAAGTCAGACTTACTTTCGTCCGAGACTTACATTTCAAGTCAGACTTACATTTCAAGTCAGACTTACTTTCGTCCGAGACTTACATTTCAAGTCAGACTTACATTTCAAGTCAGACTTACTTTCGTCCGAGATTTACATTTCAAGTCCAAGGAAAAGAGACTATTGATGACTTACTTTCCATCGATGGTGCACAACAGCAGGGAGGGGATTCGTGGGTTTGGGGAAATTCGCTGAGGCACTAGTGTCCGGATTGTTCGTCAAATAGGTTTCCTTTCCTATAAAGAAATGACACTTTTTGGCGGCTTATTGACTCAGAAAAATTTGAGAGTTAACGAATAATTTTGGCGCCAAAAATAATTTCTCTTAATTTATTAAATTTAATATACGCACATCCATAAGTTATGCTATTTTTTCTATTTATTTTGTTCTAAAATTCTAAATATTTTTTTCATAAGATAAAATATGATGTCTAGTCTCATTTACATAACAACATGCCTTAGAATAGGTTTTTTATTCTTTTTGTCACTTTAAATTAAGAATAAAAAGATAATTTAAATTGAATATTTGCGATTATTCTCACTAATGCTGCTTCCTCTTTTATTAGGTAGACAACAAAAAGTTAGCCTTGGACTCCCATATCAGATTTTTGATTGGTTGCGTATATAATGAGCTGGGATTGATAGACGAAAACCCAGTGAGAAAATTTTTGACGCCTAAAAAATTATGATCTTTTCGCCATTTCAAAATAATAGAAAGATTATATGATTTGGGTTCTCTAAAATCTAACTGATAACAATTCAGTTTTCTTGCAATTTATTCACGAACAACATCATAACCCTTTTGAAAATTAAGAGAGGTTATCGATTTTGTAATTTAATTGTCGTCGTTATCGATTTTGTAATTTAATTGTTATCGTCTTTTTCTAAACGTGCATTTTTACATTAAAAGCAATGCAACTCCAAAATTAATTGGTATTTAGACTTTAATTAGGTGCAGACAAACGAAATGCAGTCCAAATATTTTGGTGATATATGAATTACATAAATTTAGGGAAATTGAAATTATATCTTTTTAAATTTTTAGGAAAACAGATTTATAGAATTGTTTAAGTCATCAAAATAATGCAGACTTAGGTCAAATTTTCCAAATTTAATCATTTGCAAGACTTTCAAGCGACTTCAAAATGTCGAAATATAAGTCCAAAAATAAAATTACGATTACAGTCTATCCTCAATTATTATCACGCTAATTATTGAGTGACCCATGCGTTCGTATGTATGTAATACCTTTTAAAAAGGAGATGAGAGAGATAAACTACATTTACAATTTAAATCTGATGTATTTACTTGTTACATTTACAAATGTAAATGTTTCTCGTAATGTTTACATTTTGTAAGTATAACGAATAAAAATGACGCACTTTTTTTACAAAGTCAAATTATGCGATACAACTTTACTTGTTACATTTACAAATGTAAATGTTTCTCGTAATGTTTACATTTTGTAAGTATAACGAATAAAAATGACGCACTTTTTTTACAAAGTCAAATTATTGTTCGATTTTTGCAGCTTGTAAACGATTAATTGTATAAAGCAATTGATATTAGCACGACATAACTGAATAATTCTAATATTGAAATCAAAAGCCCTTAAAATATCATGATATTTTAATTTCATAACAAATCTAGGAGACTATTTGATGAAAACATATCCGATGTGGGTTTTGTTGTATTATATAACTTGTTATTGACTTCTTAGCTTTCCAAATTTTTTTCGATAATGAGAAAACGAATGAAAAATCAACATTTGGTCCATTTAAAATTTGATTTGTTTACATTTTTTTTACTTTTTGAATTTCAATTTATATTTTCCTCAAGAAATACTTTAGATTTTAAGAAACTAAATCATATAATCTACTAAGAAAATATATTAAATCCTATAATACTCAAAGTTTTGTGATAAATCCGATCTTTTTTATTTTACTTTTATTATGTTTTTGCAAACTTAAGGTCCTCACTAGGTAAAACATAATACTCTTTGAAGTTAAGTATTTTCACAAAGAGAGGACCAACAATATCAAAATATTGAATAAAGATTTGTATTATTTTATTTATTTTTAAGAACATGTTTAAGAACCCTCATTATCTCCACGAATATTGCATATTTTTCTATTCTAAGACCACCAAAATTACGTTTTAATATAGAAAATAACATATTTATGTGATGCTAAAGTCGAAGTCCTTAAAAAATTAGTGTTAAACATCCATTTATTACAAAATTGAAGAAATATATGTAAAATATAACACATAATTTAGTTATTTGACTCAATTATTAGTTATGCAATATCAGTTGTGTTTATATCTGCGTTATATCACGAGATGCATTGAATTGTCATAATTAGATCACCGTAAATCTTATCAATTTTTGATACACTTCCGGTGAAAAATTTAGCCTTGACAATAGGATGAAATATATTGTAAAAAAATAAATTTTAGATTTTGAAGTTTATCATTTCGAATAATGAAATATAAACAATACAAATTTTCTGTCGTTTCGAGATTCATAAATGATCGGAATCTTCCAGCTCCGACTGAAATAGAACTTTCGGAAGCTAATTTTCAAGACGAATCTTCTTTATTAAGATTTATTTTGGATATCCCTAAGGATTTAAGCTTTTCCATTGACTCATATTCAATGAATCTTTTGATACATTTCATTATCGAGCAATCTACACAAAATGAAACAATATTAAAATTCACAATTCAAAATATCACTTCTTTCGAATATCTTTCAAATAGATTTGATACTACTGGAAAATTTATTCGAATATTTATCGCATTATATTAACAGATTTTTTTCATTTTTTCATTAAAATTAATTCATTTTAAAGCTTTAGATAACATACAATACCTTTATTTATCAACATTTTCCGATCAATATGATGAGATATTACGTTTCATAAGCAGCAGTGACAATTCTCTCTATATCATCGATACATTTATTGCTTTGATTAAAAACAATATTCTTGACGTTGAATTCTTCCAAAACGCAGTTTTACTCAAGAAAGAAATTTTTTCTAGTATTATTGAGTACGAAAATCAATATTCAACTTATGCAATTGCAAATTTCTTTACAAAATTATTAAAATATTACCCAGGATATGCAACTGCTCTTCCATGTTCGGATATACTAATATCAAATTATTTCAACTTTTTTAATGACGTGAATTCAATTATAAATAACGAAGATTTTGTTTATCTTCTCAAATTTATAGTTTTATTTTATAAAGCAGTCGATATAACATCTGAGATGGCTTTAGAATTCATAAAAACACTTGAAATTCTGCGAAGTCTTTCTCCTCACTATTCATTTACAGAGTATGTAGTTCAGGGGTATTATTGTGTACTTCCTCTTATACCCATGCAAATTTAATCTACCGATTTTTTAAATTCACATGAATTTTTAATTAATTATGCAATTGAGAATTCAAATCTTCACAAATATTTGAAATTATATTCCAGATGTTTCCGCAGATTTGATAGCGATGAAATATTCAAAAATGTTTTTCATATCTTAAACCTTGTAGAAGTTACAACAGAATATTTATCAGAAAATCAGGATCTTTCTGAGAAATAAATCTTTATTTGCAACGATATCCTAACGAGGGTTAATTTAATTTTTATTTTTTATTTCAAGTTTGAGTAAACTTTCAAGATAATCTATATAAGCCTTTTGATGTTCTTCATCTAGATTCTTGTTTAATATGTGATGAATTTGATTTTTTTTTTGAAAATTCAAGATAAAATTCTTTTTTATCTTGATCAACAACATGAACAATTCGAGTACAGCGTAACATTTCATCAATATTTTCTGTTTTCTTCGTTTCTAGATATTTTTCAAATATTTCTTGCGGAATCTCATTTTGATATACCCATTTATTTTTTTCCGGATGCTGATCTTTGTACTTAACGAAATATTGCTTGACTATTCGCTCAGAAACAACATATTCGATCTCTTTTCTCTTTCTCATTGAATATTTGTGACACTTTTGAATTCAATCAAATCAAAAATATTTGAAATTGCTAGAATTTTTTTTCTTTCTCATGAATATTTGAAATGACTCAAAAGGAAAACTCGTTCGATTCAATTCAATTTTGAATCAGAATTTTTTAAGGACCAATAAATCAAATTATGTTAAGAAAATCTTTTTTTAACTCAGAGTATCAAAAGTACGTTAAACCTTCAATTTTATCTCATGTCGGAAAGCGAACCGACAATAGTGGAAGAGAATCAAACTATATCAGTATCCATCCAAGCTATTGTTGATGAAGAAAAAGGAGATGGAGCTGATATGCTGATTTAATTCAAAATGAATTGAATTCCGTAAAAAATTGAAATATAGAATGGAAATACCTGAAAATTCCCCAATTCCAATTCTCAAGGAAAGATATAGCAAATTAAAATTTACAGATCCTACAGAAGCTGCTATATTTATTGCAAAAGATTCATATAATTCTTTTTATCCATTAAATTTTGAGCAAGGAAAAAAGTTTCGTTGTCCTAACTGCCAATTTTGCATGGAGCTTGTAAAGACTCATGAAAATGGTCAACTTTTCTTCATTCCAGTAATTAAACACGAGCATAGAGCAAAGCAATGCAAGCCGAGTAACAATATACCAAAAATTCTTAAGTTGCAAGCAGGAAAAAAAGTCTATGAATTAGCAAATTCTGATAATGTTCCTCAATGCAAAGAAATTTTTGCAAAAGAATTGAATATTCCCAATGCAACTTATACGATGTTCCATAATATAGTAAATAAACTTAAAGGAACCACAAAGGGGATAGAATTCAATCTTACAATTATTTCTCAACAATTTTTTCAATCATAAACAAAATCGAACAAGGATTCTGCGAAATGATTTTAGTTAAAGAAGTTAACAATGAAATTGAATTGCATACATTTAAGAAAGGTGATGAATTACCTGAAAATTCAAAAGACTTTCAAATTTATTCATTTATTGTAATTCCTCCAATAACTCATTTTTACATGCAAACACAAGCTTTTTGCGGAATAATTCAAATTGATGGAACGTTTTTATTTTGTATTAAAAAAGGAAACTTACTCATTATTGGTACACCTGCACCAAATAATAGACTTATCCCTATTGCATTTGCATGGTCTGTTAGTGAAAATACGATAACAATTAAGGATATGCTCACTAAATTGAAATCTTTTATTCCACCAAGCAGATTCAAGAATATTTATTCCGATCAAGGTCCGGCAATTATAGCTGCTGTTAGAGAATCAGGCTTTTCTTGCGATCATAAATTTTGCTTACGTCATTTTGCAACAAAAAGGGAATACATCAATGTCTATTCCGAAATTGTTGAAGTCGCTTACGCAGACCATCCTCAAAAACGAATTGACTTGATTAAAAAGTTAGAAACTCGTTTACAAGAGGAATATCCAAACCGCGAAAATAATCAGGATCTCTTTAAGTACTTAGATAGTATTAACCCATTTGAAGGATTCGCTGACTACACCGCTGGCATACTCACAACATCTCTTATTGAATCCCTTAATGCCGAAATTAAAGATAAATGGGATACATATGAACCCGCCGAACTAATTATCCGTCTCATTGAACATGAATTCAATCTTGTTAAAAATGTTTTAACAGGTGATTTTAAATCAGATAATATTATCAAAAATCTAAATGAAACTTTGAAACATTCAGATATGTTTAGCTCGGTATTATATGATCCAATTCAATAATTATATTATGCAACTTTTGGTCGCTATACATATTGCGTAAAAATTATGTCAGATTCACAATATTCATGCACATGTAAGCACATCGAATTATACGGATTACCTTGTATTCATGTAATCGCCGTATTGAATCACTTTTCGAACAAAAATCTTCTTAAAAATTTGAATGATGCAGTTCATGCTCGCTTCAAATGTTCAGAGTTTATGACTCCTGTGGAAGATTTAATGAAATTTTATGTTGACCAAGCATCTTTAAAAATTCCCGGAATAAATTTCAACCTGGGAGAGATTGAAAAATTAAGGGGAAAAAGGACTAGGATTAAAGCATTTTACGAAAAGTGATGCTGTGTTGTTAGTTATTTATTTACTTTTTTTAATATTTTTTAAAAAAATAAAAGAAAATTCAAATAATTTTGTATCTCCCATGATATATCGACCCACGAGTACTAATGTGGCTATAATTAGAGATTGCAACTCTATTATGATCATAGTCCGGTGATATACAATAAGATTCAAATTTTGAAAGAATTAAATTAATAAAATCCCGGTGAAAAAAATAAAAACAGCTTCTAAAAGTATAGTTATCTTAAAATACGAACTTCAACACAAGTTTTTTGATCCAATAGAAAATTGAATTCTTTGAATAAATAAAATATTTTATGTATTAACATATTAAATTTCCTAATTATTTTTTCTTCTTGGGAAAATTTTTGAATTCGAATAGAAAATTCAATAAATTGAAATTGGGTTGAAAGAATTCTCCATATTAACTTGTCATATATTTCAGATCATATAAATTAAGTTAATTAAATTTTTTAAAAACCTTAATAGGATAAAAAAAAGAATTTACACTCTCTCACTTTGAAAACGTAGAAAATGCCAATCTATTGGTATACATTTTAGTTTTGTTAAGTTTACAAAACAATTACTCTAGATTTTAAAGATTTATCAAGAATTTAGAGAATATCCTTCTCAAAACAACTTCAATAGCGAAGGATTAGTATTGAATCGGATTTGTAACATAATTATAGTACATTACAATACAATTTCTCCGACTTTTAAATATTTTTGAAATATTTACAAAATATGCTCTTTCTATCATCGATACTTTAATACAGAGCAAATTTAGTAAATGTCATCACGTTATTTTTTCATAAATCGTTTTCGAACTTTTGAAATATTTATTTTAAACCAGTTTTCTACATTTAATATGTGAATTATATCAAAAGTAGATGGGCGATACTTGTAAATCTATTTAAACTATTAGTTTGCTATTATTGAAGAACTTTATAATTTTTTTTTTTATGTATGGAATTAAAGATAATTTTGCTGATTCCAACTGGTTTTTCTATATGAGTTAAATATGCCAAGTGAAATTGGACTTGCCAATATTGTAAATTGAAGTATGGACTATATATCGATTTTCATTGATTGATGAATAACTCGGAGTAATGTAATTGTTGATAATGAAAAATAGTTTTCAATTGCTGGTAAGGGCCAATGTATGTTCAATAGCTCCGAAAGCAAAAAATGCACGTTTAGAAAAAGACGATAACGATTAAATTACAAAATCGATAACGACGACGATTAAATTACAAAATCAATAATGACCCGAAAATTAACGTTCTAATATTGTGATTTCTTTCCTGAGTTGCTTCATTTCCCTGCGAATTATCGAATAAAATCAATTTTTCATAGCCACAACGGATAAATTGTTAAAATTATTAATCTTTTTTTTTAATCTAGCCATTTTTCCATTGCAATGCTTAAATTATAATTCTGTTTAGTATGTTAATCTGGTAATCATCATAGAAGTTAAAAGTGTTGCATTTAAAACTCCTCTAAAAAATAATCTTTTCACCATTGTTTTAAATACAAGAAAATATCTCGCGATCATATTTTCCTCACATAGTATTTATATATTTGTTGGATTTCCAATGACTATCATTTGAAATGTAAAAATTCTTTTCGATTAATTCTGAAAGATATTTTCACAACTTTGATCTAGATCATGGCATGCAATTTTATGAGAAAATATAAAGTGATCTCAAAAATTTAAGAAATAATCCAAAAATTGAAACCGTGAGGGGATTTTTAATTTTTAAACTATTTTAAATTAAATTTTAGTAATATTTAAGTTCACATATAATAGAGATAACATAGTAGTTTGGAATTTAGATGCTACAAGGCTGATAGTCAAAATGGTCAAGGTATAATTACTTAGGAATGAACTCTTCACATATAGATATGTTTCGACTTTCACTCCACAGAAGAGGTTGTTCTTTGTAATAATTATAGTAACAATTCCATAGTTTGTGAGCTGCATATGATTTATCCTTACATTTTTTGTTATAGGGTTTACAGTATTCAATTTTATAAAAATGAACAATTTTAGTTTTGTTACAAAATTTCGTTAGGTTATATTCATTGTATTCTTGAGGAAACGTTATTTTCGAATGCTCAAATAGTTTATTTAAGACAGTTTGATCATTGAACCACGTTGGTTTATTCTTGTTTAGCCATTTTAAATAATCTTCGGCTTGTTTCAAAAATTTTTCATTGACATATTTGCGACTATTGAATAAAGTAATACCTGCATTGAAATAGCTAGTGAATCCTTCACACCGACTACACGAATCATTAACTATAATTCCTGACATATTTTTAAGATCATAATCATATAATTCATCTATGTTTTGGACCACCAATGCATCTCCATCTAAATGTAAAAACCTCTCAAGTTCTGGATGTGCGTCCGGAAAAAGAAGTCGAATATATGTGTCATAACCAATCAGAAATATCTTAGGAGTTAAATATTGGGGTTTATATGTTTCGATATAGAATTTTGTATTCTTAATTGGACGAGCGGAAAAGTGTTTTCTATATTTTGATACAAGTTTCGAATTTATTGTTGCAATATAAAAAGAAATATGACGATTTTGATGAGTATTAATGATTGCATATATTGCTGGACCTAAATTTAAAAGATCACTTGACCATGCAAATAAAACATTCATTGTTTCAAAGAACTCACCATGAAATCCTTGGATTTCAACCGTTGAAGTGTAGCGAAAGATTAGAATTTCAGCGACCACTAAAGCAATGCAATAAAGTTGAAGGATAATATGGAACATTAATTCAAGTTTTATGAGTGCTCTCTGAAAGTAAACTACATAATTTATTCATTGGTTAGACATTCTAAATCTTTTTTAATATCGTCTATTATGAATGTTTTTCATACTTTAATGTTCACAATTTCTTAAATAAAATATTAAAATTCCCCAAATAATTATATTCACACATTTATTTAATAAAGGAAATATCAAGAAAAAGATCATCACAAATTGAATCATGAAAAAATAATTTATAACTATTCAATCAAAAGATAGTGAACCATTTATATATGTTTTTAAAATAAATATATAATATGAAGTTTTTGATATACTTATCAAAAATTGAATTGAAGCCGACAAAATTTGAGAGGTTATCGATTTTGTAATTTAATTGTTATCGTCTTTTTCTAAACGTGCATTTTTACATTAAAAGCAATGCAACTCCAAAATTAATTGGTATTTAGACTTTAATTAGGTGCAGACAAACGAAATGCAGTCCAAATATTTTGGTGATATATGAATTACATAAATTTAGGGAAATTGAAATTATATCTTTTTAAATTTTTAGGAAAACAGATTTATAGAATTGTTTAAGTCATCAAAATAATGCAGACTTAGGTCAAATTTTCCAAATTTAATCATTTGCAAGACTTTCAAGCGACTTCAAAATGTCGAAATATAAGTCCAAAAATAAAATTACGATTACAGTCTATCCTCAATTATTATCACGCTAATTATTGAGTGACCCATGCGTTCGTATGTATGTAATACCTTTTAAAAAGGAGATGAGAGAGATAAACTACATTTACAATTTAAATCTGATGTATTTACTTGTTACATTTACAAATGTAAATGTTTCTCGTAATGTTTACATTTTGTAAGTATAACGAATAAAAATGACGCACTTTTTTACAAAGTCAAATTATTGTTCGATTTTTGCAGCTTGTAAACGATTAATTGTATAAAGCAATTGATATTAGCACGACATAACTGAATAATTCTAATATTGAAATCAAAAGCCCTTAAAATATCATGATATTTTAATTTCATAACAAATCTAGGAGACTATTTGATGAAAACATATCCGAGTGGGTTTTGTTGTATTATATAACTTGTTATTGACTTCTTAGCTTTCCAAATTTTTTTCGATAATGAGAAAACGAATGAAAAATCAACATTTGGTCCATTTAAAATTTGATTTGTTTACATTTTTTTTTACTTTTTGAATTTCAATTTATATTTTCCTCAAGAAATACTTTAGATTTTAAGAAACTAAATCATATAATCTACTAAGAAAATATATTAAATCCTATAATACTCAAAGTTTTGTGATAAATCCGATCTTTTTTATTTTACTTTTATTATGTTTTTGCAAACTTAAGGTCCTCACTAGGTAAAACATAATACTCTTTGAAGTTAAGTATTTTCACTATGGCATTCCAAACGGGAACCGCGGTTGGTTACCATGGATTTCCGTCACCGGTCACATTTTAAAGATTTTTAAAGCCTTATAAAAATATGCTTTGTAAATCATTTTTTGTAAATCGGCAAAAATTTGGTAATTTTCTTCAACTAATAAATCTGCGAATAGCATTTATAATACAAGAACAATCTTTTAAAATGCGTTTGATTCATTTTTGTATAATTTCATATAGGCACATATATTTTCCGGGACTTTCCGTGATTTTAACCGTAAAATCATTAGTTTACAACCAATTTTTCCGTATTTTGAATAGTTTACTGCACTTTTTCCGTAAATTGAGTTACGGGAATCCGCAAAATTTCCGGACCTCATTTTTCATAGAAATAATAATAATATTTGATAAAAAGATATATTATTTATATTTTTGATTTTGAATTACGGAAAAAGTGAATTGTTAACTTGATTTT